CTTCGTCTGTCGAGCCGACTGTGCTCATGCGTCGGGCTTCATCCCTCGCCTTCCAGTCGTCGCCTCTCGTCCTCGGGCTCGAGCTGAAATAGCAGGGGATTCGTCGCTCCAGCTCGTTTCAGGATTCCACTCCTTCCAATTTGCTCTGAGATCGCAGGGGCTTCATTTCTGCTCTTGTTCCCTCTTTCGGGTTTCTGCTCCTTCCAATTTATCCCTCGAGTTGAGATTGCAAGAGCTTCGCGGCTCCCTGTTTCGGGTTTCTGCTCCTTCCAATTTGCTCTCTGCTCTACTACGCCGCACCTCCATCTATTGGAGATGGCTTCGGACAGATCTTATGTTGTTGCATTTGTGGGTGTCCACGCCTCAGAAACACCTAAATCGTGTTTTTTCTCTCCTTCGTTTGAGTGAGCGGATGACATCAAGAAACCTGATAGGAAGAATGGGAAGTTTGTCATCTTTTTTACAGAAGCTGAAGGTATTCAACTTGCTTCCTCGTGCCGACTGAACTTGGTCAGAAAATTTTTGTATGGCCGACCCTTTCTCTCCTTCGTTTGAGTGAGCGGATTACATCAAGAAACCTGATAGGAAGAATGGGAAGTTTGTCATCTTTTTTACAGAAGCTGAAGGTATTCAACTTGCTTCCTCGTGCCGACTGAACTTGGTCAGAAAATTTTTGTATGGCCGACCCAAAATAGAGCTGATTCGTAAGAAATTTGAGCTTATGCACCTTTTTGGGGAGTGAAAAATTGGACTATTAGATAGAGACACATTCTTATAGAACTAAATAATGAAGAATAATCTGTTAGAAGATTATTTGCTAGAAGAATAATCTGGATTGATCACAGAACAATGAAAATTCTGAAATAGACCGTGGATTTTGACCCACAGACGGAACCACCAATCATTATGGTTTAGATTCGCCTCTTTAGTTTGAAATTTCAATATTTTACTCAAAAAGTGTTATACTCTATTGCCTCAACTTATGGTAAGCCACTCAAAACGGACATTCCCACTTTTAATGATTGCAATGTAATTTAATTTCTTCATATTTACACTGTTAATGATTGCAATGTAATTTAATTTCTTCATATTTTGAAATTCATTTCTATAGCCTAATATTCACAACCATTAACCAAGTGAAAACTTTAATAAAACAAGCAAGCAAGTTAATTAATATTGATTATATGAAAGTTTTATATGCTAGTTGTGATGCTAAATTAAGGCATCTTGTATCTTAATTAATATTGATTACATGAAAGTTTTATTTGCTAGTTGTGATGCTAAATTAAGGCATCTTGTATCTTTTTTTTACATATCTAGTTATTCAATATGTTTTAAAAACTATTTATATGTTTAATAAACATTTAATGATGAAGATATGAAACTTAAAAAATGTCATGTCATGGGGGGCAGGTTGGAAAAGATTTATTTATGATGCCTACGTAAGTGGGGCGAAATAATTCAAAATAATAATTGAAGGTCCTAAATATGGCTCAATAGCAATAATGATGGATTGCACATGAGCTCTATGAACATGATATAATCGTCGAGTTAGATTTATACCTCATGTTATATTGTGTGAGTAATAATTTGTTATATAAAGTAGAAATTTTTCAGATTACGTATCAGATAAAATTGATTTTTTTATTAAAAAAATTGGTGTGTTTCGATGCCCTGTAAATGTATTTAAATTAAATATTTTAAATTACTTCTGCTTAAATTGATTATATTGATTTTATTGTATTTGTATACATTGGAATAACAAGTTAGGAGTTATTTTGGGTATATTTAAGAGATGGAATTTGTCACCCACTTTATTGTAATAAGTAGAATAATAAAATGGATAGTATAAGCATATTTAATCAGCTCAATAATCTAGGTCTGCAAAGGAATCAATGCATTCAATGAGCAACTCGAAAGCAGTTCAATTAACATTATGTTAAATCTATTTAAATTAGTTAAAAAAATTGAATAAATTTTAAAAGCTTAAAGGATAAAAAAATAAAATTCAAAAATAATTTCAATCGTTTATTTACATTCACAAATAAACTCATTTATTATTTAACATGCAATTCATTAACTGCTATATAATAGATTCGACGATAACTTATATCATTTAAGTTATATAATTAAATAATATTAATTAGCTAGAAGTTAATTAATTGCATAAATAACATTAATATATTATAATTTAATATCATTATATAATAATTTAATACAATTCCTTTTTTTAATTTCAATAAAATAATTTGTTAAAATTTATTGTATTTTTTATTTCATAAAATTCTATATGCAATTTATTATTATCTTATTTAATTTGTGTAAATTAGTTATATACTAATTCAAAATTTAATCTATCACTTATTTATTTGTATTTCCAAAATTATTAGTTAATAATTTTATATGAAAAATCAAATACTAATTCAAATTTTAACTTGTTAATTAACTCGTTGAGGTTTTGATTCAGTTAATATTAATGAAACAGTTACAAGTCAAATACAAATTTTAAAAATTTTAATCAAACCAAGCTTGGCTTAAGCTCGGTCCGAACATAAAAACATCTAATATAGCCAAACTAAGTTCAGTCTAAAACATACTTAGCTTGACTATACTCAATTACAACCCTAATCACATTAGCTCGTGCTACGTCCTACATCGACAACGGGAAGGTGGTCTGGACATGCGAATTGTCATGATTGGCTACCCTTGGATTGAGAAAACCATTGAATCAAAATAAAACAGGTCCCTCTCGCATAGACCAGGGATGGATTTCTTGTTCCACGTTTTTTAGGCGAAAGAATTAATGATGTCAATTTACCGCCCTTTTCAATTTACTGCCCTTCACAACGAGTTAAAAGAATCAAATTTTCTTTTGGAAATTTATTTATATTTGACACAATTCTTATGTATTTAACTATTAATATCCAAACTTTGATATTTATTAATATAAAATTAAAATCTTTAACAGCACAAAAAATTGCCCTAAGATTACTTTTTATAAAGTGAAATATATTTATTCATGAAATGTTTAGATTTAATTATAACACTGAAGTATTATATAGGAAAATATTCTCAGGTGTTACATTTTAATTATAGAAAACTTATATAGTGCGCATATGAATTCCCATTTTTTTTACGAACTCCTCTTTTATGCAAAATATGCTTCATACTTTTCAACCAAAATGTAACCAAATAATAAACTTGGATGAAACCAAATTCCTAGCATTCAATAAAGCTAATACTTAGAAAACACACCTTAGATTTTGACTCCTTAGAAATTTTCAAATTCTGGGCCTCCAAGCTTTTAACCCTTAGCTCTTCCTCCTGTAAAACCGTTAAAAAATTACTGATCACGCAAGCTATTTTAAGATTAGCACATGAATAAATCAAAAATAATAATAATAATAATAATAATACATAGTTTAATAAAAAGTACACTATGATTAAATAAAAGCGAAAAAAATAATAATAATAATACATAGCTTAATAAAAAGTACACTATGATTAAATAAAAGCGAACAGTGCACATGAAGAATCGGATAACAATGGTTCTAGACTTCATTGGTAATGTTAATTTGTTTGTCACGAGAGGAATGCGTTATATTACAAGAATAGTTGAAAAGCAGCTCTGGAATTTTGTCGCCTAAAATCCTGAAGCTACGGAATAAATGTGCAGATGGTATAGAAGCAACAATTCCACGTCTGGGAACAGCTCAGATACTGCTTGTTGGTTATCTTAAAAATGGAACTTTAACACAAAATTTAGGCTAAATCCATTAACGAAATGAGCACAAACAAAGCACTATTCGTTGCAGGAGACTCTTGTAGAATGGATAAATGTGGAATATCAACAAAATCCTATAAACCAACAATCCACAGTGGCGTAGGAATAAATTTCAAAATAATTATAAATAATGACAACATTTAGTTATGATGCATATTTTTTAGGTGCTAAAAAGAAAAGGGAATTTAATAAAATATGTTAAATTCAAAAAAAATGAGAACAATTTACTGGGATGATTAAGGCTGAAAGAATGATTAAAGGGAAGCACACATGCGCAAGAATGTATGTCTATTAAGAAACTTTTGAGCAACAGAACATGGAAAGGTAGAACAGTACGGAGATAAAAGAACTTGGACAGAAGGTTGAGATTTCATAGCAAGAATTACTGGGAAATGTAAGAAAATAAATTGGGATCAGTAGAACTTGCTTAGGAAACTTAAAATAAAGAAATACAGTCATTGACGGAAAAAGGATGGTGAAAATTGATTTCTTTCGGCTCATTTCTTCGCTTGTAGAGAGAACATTAATTGAAATGATGATTCCATTTTTACTCATTTCTAATGGGAAAATGAAAACTTAACTACGAAAATTTTCAAAAATGTTTGTAAATTTTAAAGCCTACCTCGATTTCAAACAGTATCCAACCAACTGATGGGATCAACTTACTTCACCATTTTTCTAAACATAATTTTAACTTCAAGTAAATGAGCCCTTGGGTCAATCAAACTCTTCAAGCTTCACTAACATAAGTTCGGCATTATTAGCATAAAAGGAAAATAGTATACCTGAACAAATTGAAGATAGTTGGTGTTGAAGGTTCTTAGGGTTTCTTTCACCCTCATATATGCGCTTTTGTTTGAACCATTGAATGCCTTCTCTGAATCCCCACATTCGTCACTTGTATTGAGCTCTGTTTCCGAAGATATGCCGTTCTTGTCCTTCCACTGATTTGACAACAAACAAACTTTCGCTCTTGTTTCAGCCCCATTTACTACGCTAGCATGTTTAAATTCCACGGAATCAGATCCCACTTTCGACTCCAAAAGATCATTCGAAGTCTGAGACACCTTTTTCCCTCTAGAAATCATGCTTTTCATGGAAGCCACCGTCTCCTCTTCTTCCGGTTCTCTTCTCCCATAAGAACTCAAACCATCCAACGCTAAGTTTGATTTCAATGTAGTAATCGAAGTCTTAAACACCTGCCTTCCTTGGCATATCTTCCGTTTCTTGGGAAGTTCCACCATCTCTTCAGCTAGCTCTCTCCTGTTACCGTAGTATGGCCTCTCCTTTCCTAAACGTCTGGCACTTCGCCTCGTTCCACTTGCTGCCCCAACAGAACTAGAAGTTACTTTCACCGACGAAGCCATCACCGTGCCGTTAGCAAAAGCTGCCATCACACTGCCGTTCGCAACAGCTGTGATCCCTTCATCCATGAAAGCCGTCATCTAGCAACCATTCAAAACCAATGAAAAGCGCCCGCTGAGTAATATACGAAGGATATCAAATCTCAATAAACTAAGTCATTCGATGCAATGTAGTTAAGCTACTGAAGAAAATAAGCTAAGCAAGTGACCGCGCTTACGTAATCCTCAGACATAAACAACGCGAAAGCCAGACGGTATTTACCGTTATCTGCACGCCAACAAGCATAAAACCAAAACACTTGAAATATCTAGGGTGGATAAAGAGATAGAAAAATGATAAATAACAATAATCCGACAATGTAGATCCATAACACTAGTCTGATATTCCCTGTGACAACTCGGAAGGAAGGAGGAAAGTGCGAAACACAGTTTCGCAAGCCATGGTCACCTCAAACAAACAGAAACAATTCTAAGAAAACATAAGACAAAAATTAATGGGACTCAGCGGTTCCGAATGAAAGTTCGAGAAAGCCTACATTCAGGAACAGAGACCGTCTTCTTAGGGAGGGGAAATCGTCTTCTCCGACGACTTTGAGCGCAGAACTTTGGTTGGATTTTGAATGCTAGGGTTTTACGGGGAACAGAGCCAAGGGGAAGCGAGCAGACCAGTGAAGCTTTTCTCTTACGGGACGCCCCATCTCCCCCAGTTCAAACAAGGGATGAGCGGGAAAAGGGGACGTTCACAGTGCTCAAACCGGACAAGTTTACCAAATTATGGGGGATAAAGAGCTCGGTTTCTTCTGCCATTTCAAGTTTCTTTCAAAAAAAAATGAAACTAATTTTTTTTTTATTGAAAAATGTGGATCACACACCAACTTTATTAATGAAAAAAGTTATTGTAAGGAATAAACAAATCAAAAGACAAACAACTGAAATAATTCATCAAAATATATAAAATTAACAGTAACTCTTAAACAAAATGAATTAAAATAAGCTAAAAATATAGCACAACAAACACAAAACAATAAAAGTTCAATCACACTTCATTCTTCCACTACATTAATCTATAATTGAATTTGATTCACCAGAAGCACCACAAAAGTTTAATAAACTCCAATGATTTGACACCGAAAATGATTCAATCAGTATAAATGCATGTTGGAACTAAACAACAACAAAATATATTAGACAACAAAGTAAGAAGGAGAACCAAGATTCATTTTCATTCCAAAACAACATCTCTCCCACATAATCTGAAAGAGAAATGATCATCAACATATGCTCAAAACTCAATCCATCCAACGTAACAACAAAAACAACAAATAGTATGCTTCAAAACTTCTACCATGCACTCAACTTTACATAGGTCGACTCAATTTTGTGTTGGTCATATTCGAACAAAATGCCCCGATACGTTTGCATCAGTTATTGATCAGAAGGAATATGTTAACGATGGTATTTATGGACGTTAAATCTGACACCAAGATTTGTGTCTAACATGCGATGCTAATACGTTTTTCGACCCCCGTTTTAACGAGAAAAAAGAATTATGATGCTAATCTTACTTAAAGTTTGATTTTTTTTGTGGATTAGCGTCGGACATAATGCTAATTAGCATAATTCTTTTAGTGCAGGCGAGAGGGCTCTCTCGATCGGTTTGTTCATTGGGCAAACTGATCGATCAGATTGATGATATTACGATTTTTTTGGGAAAAGGAGCCAAAAAATGAAGTGGTTGATAGGCCCGGGATTCACTCAAACCGAGAGGACTCTCTCTATCGGTTTGTTCTTTGGGCAAACTGATCGATTAGATTGATGATATTACGATTTTTTGGGGAAAAGGAGCCAAAGAATGAAGTGGTTGATAGGCCCGGGATTCACTCAAACATTTTTCTTTGTCTTGGTTTGGGTGAATAATAACTGATCAGTCGATCCTTCTGCCCGTAATTATTGTGTCTTCACGAACAGCCAGATTTCCTCAAGATTTGTGCTAACATAATTTTCATATATAACCAAAGAAAAGTATGTTGAGATTTTCATACCTATTTCGTACTAATATTGATGATATTGCACCTTAAATAAGGGTATTTTTTATGTTTTGTTGCAGGTATGTTGAATTATGGTCATTAGAGCAAAAAGATGCAAAAAAAGAGCGAATTTGAAGCAAAAATGACCAAAATATGAAGATTTGAACTAGGGCGCCGACGGCGAGCCCAACGGTGCCGACGGCGGGTTTTTCAAGAGAGTCCAGAATCAAATATTCTAGAAGGCCGTCGAGGGCGAGAACGGTGGATTCTCTTAACAAGTGCATTGAATGTGGACGATTTTTTAAGGGACGCTCAGGGAACTCTTGGAAAACTCTTCTACAACTTTAAGAGAAACATTTGGGCCAAAAAAAGAGGAGCCCCGTGGTGGTGTCCGCTAAGTTTTTGTTGTTTGTAGAGCGTAGAGAGTTTAATTTAGGGTTAGTATTGTGAGGAATTCTTCGAGAGATTGTAAGAGTGGAGGGAAAGTGAGAGATTTCTTCCTCCTTGCCGCTTCGAAGAAAAATTCTATGTGCTGTAAAGAAAAGGAAGAGATTCAGAGGAACTTCGAGAAGTTTGCTTGTGGAGGAATTAGAGATAAGTGATATTTACTTATTGAAGTTGTATGACTTTGCTTTTATATATAAGTTCTAAGTTTTGTCGTATTTTCTTAATGAGTTCTGTGTAGTTTTTTCTATCTTTCTCCTTGTCTTGAGATCTTGTGAAATGGTGATTTGAATTGGTTGAGCCATGAGAATGTTAAAGAAGTTGTGATGATCTTTTCACTTCGATCTTAATTTACCTTCAATTTGGCTAATTGATTTGTTAAAATATGTTGAGTTTTACAACTAAAGAGAAGATTACATCTAAGATTTAGGGAGGTCAAAGTCCTTGAAAGTTGGGTGCAAATAAATAGGGAAATAAAATTATTGGACGTAGAATTGAAAATTTTAGAGTGACAAACTAAAATCCTCAATTCAGTCTTATCGTTTGGGTGTTGAAATGTATATGTTAGCCCTCAGACGAGGGGAACGTAGGAGCTCCAAAGTGAGAGCCGGTATCCCCTCAGCCTAGCCGCAGATTCAGTAACCAAGCATAGGATTAGTCAATGTTCTTTATGTCTGGACCAAAGGGTAAATAATAGGTATGTTCCTATTTGGCAATTGAACCAATTTTTAAAATCTGGAAATTGAACCAATTTTTAAAATCTCGTCGACGGCGCCATCAACGCCGTTAACGGTGGATTTTTCCCGAGACTTAGGCTATTTAATTCAATAGATCTCGCTGACGGAGCTGAAAACCTCGCCGACGGCGAGATCCCGAGAAAAGACTTTTAACTGCGATTTTCGCCAGTCAACCGCCACTATTCATCATCCCCTTCCTCCTAAAAACGTCATTTTCGACTTAGGGCTCAAAAGATCTTGGATTGGGAGGCAATTTTAAGGCTTTTTGACACCAGATTTGATCATCTTTAGGTAAGAGCTTCACTCCAAGCTAAAAATATTTGATTTCCACCATGAAATTCTTCCACATTGAGGAGATCCAAAAAAATTGGGAAGAAATTCATGGATTTTATTGTTGAACTCTTAGAATTACTATTGGAAGCCATGATTTACATATTTGAAGTAATTTCATTTAGACAGCAGATTTTATCATCCCTCGGTAAGAGATTCACTCCAACCTAAAAATATTTGATTTTCACCTTGAATTTCTTTCACATTGAGAAGATCCAAAAAAAATGAGAATGTGGAGAAAATATTTGGAAGAAATTCATGGAATTTAGATTTGAACTCTTAGAGTCACTCTTGGAAGCCATTATTTGAGTATTTGAAGTGTATTTTGGAATTTTTTATAATTTTGAATAGATTGACATGGCTCCGCAACAAAAGAGGCGACTAGAGTTTCACGAGTGTCGCTTTGTCAATGTGAAGGCTCAGTCGAGATTAACTTCAGTATTTGAAGGGAAGAAATGTATATAAGATCGTGTTTTTGAGAGTTCGGGAGGAGAAGTTGAACGAGTTATTACCGAACGGATGTGGGAAAACTTCTGTTATACCACCAATAAGGCTGTTGTGAATGTTGTGAAAGAATTTTATGCAAATGCGTTCTATTTTGAGGACAGAACCGTTCGAGTAAGGGGTTTTCTGTTAATTTTAGTGTCGCCCGCATTAACTCATTTTATGAAGTCCCAGACTCCTATAGTTGCAATTATGAAACCTTCAGTACAATGGAAGGCCCATTGAACGATTTCATCAACTTTTTCACTAATGGGAAAGGGGCATGGAAGTAAAGCAACGAGAAAGGGTAAATTTTTCTGCTTCCATGTTGAATGTCACATCTAAAGCGTGACATTATTTTATTTCCTCTACTCTGTTTCCTACCTATCACCATAGTGAGGAAACAAGAGATAGAGCTATTCTGAATTTCTGTATTCAGAATAATCATACTATAAATGTGGGGAGAATTATTTATAAGAATATATTGACCACGACAAAGAGTGAATCAAGTGGAGGTCTGGGACATCCTGGCCTCATTTATGTACTTCGCCAACTTTCTGGAGTTGAAGCCGGAGATGATGAAGAATGGGTTTACCCTATGAAACCCATTAGTAAAGCTAATTTGAAGACATATGAATCCCATGAAAAATGGAGATCTGGGAGTAGGAGTCAAGAACCTTCTATTAGTGTAGATATCCCCTCTACTAGTTATGACATTCCTTCCTCTAGCTCCCCTACCCTGAATGATTTAATGAATAAGTTAACCTTGCAGCGGAAGAGTATAGAGCAATTAAATGAAAGAATTGGGGGATTATAACGTAGACATGATTATGATAGTGAGTACCTACAGAGGCATTCTGAATTTGAGATAGCTTACTATGAAGTTCAGGCCCGAAACTACAGAGGTGAGCCTGATGTTACTTTTCCTGAATGCCCCCATTATACTCAGTATCAGTCCAATCCACCTACTGACTAAGGAGATGAGGATATAGTATAGGACTTTGATATATGATAGTAATTGATGTACTTTTATTTCTGTTTCCGGCCCGAAACTACAGAGGTGAGCCTGATGTTACTTTTCCTGAATGCCCCCATTATACTCAGTATCAGTCCAATCCACCTACTAACTAAGGAGATGAGGATATAATATAGGACTTTGATATATGATAGTAATTGATGTACTTTTATTTCTGTAATTTTGTAACAGAGATAGATGTTTGTGTGTTTGTACTTTCATTTTTATTTTTATGTTGCAATTGGATAATTTTTAATTATTGTTATAAATGTTTAGTGTGGTAGTTGAAATTTGCATGTGTAGTTATAATAGATGTTGATTAATACTATGTAAAATTGTAATGTGATGTGATTTTTATTTGTATTTTAATATCTTTGTAATTATTTTTTGTTTAGTATTATGGATGTGTTAGCGAAATATTGTGTTTGTATAATATTTAGTTTTGTACTTATTTCAAAATTTCATTACCCAGCAAATTCTCTAATGATTTATATGTATAGAAAACTCCTAATGTTACAGATCAGTTGAAGTTAAAATTTTGAGAAGGAACTGCAAAAATTTCCGAATGATGAAAATGCTTAAAGTATTGAGGAATGATTTATATTTAGAATTTTCTTTCCACTTTTATCATTCCATATTGAAAAATTTAAGTTTGGGGGAGGGAAGAAAAAGATTAACTATTAGATGTTATCAATTTTAATATTTTAAAAAATTATTAATATGATTTTTTACAGTGAATTTAATTCAGATAACTATATTTTGTAGATATTTAAATATTATCGTAGATTTAATGGAATATTTTTGTAAGGATAATTAATTTTGTAGATTAAGATATTTAGTATAAGAGAATAAGACTATAGTTAACTTTTTAAAGTAAAGAAAACTATATTTTGAAATATTAAGAATCTTAGAAATTCATTTGAGAAGAAAAGATTGAGGCGCAATGATGTAAAGCTATGAAATATTTATAAGGTAAAGGAATGCTTTGAGTTTCAAATTTAG